GAGGACCTGTGTGGCCTGCAATCAACAAGAGGAAATATAAGTCTTAAATTCTGGAAAAAAACATATAAAGAAGTGAAAACGAGATACAGAGGCCAGATGTTCACCTTAGGCTGTCTCTGGTTCAAGACGATGGCTAACAGGCAGCCATCGGGGGAGAAGGCTGGCACCAAGGCCCCTCTGGACTTCACTGGTTTGCAGGGCGGGGCTAGACAAGACATGGGGTATGTCTTTGTGGCCCACTGTATGCTGTATCCCACAGAACTACAAAGAGAAATGTGCACTTTTAACCACGGTAATACCCAATGAGAGTTCTGTCTGTTACATACACCTGTTTACTCACCCCACTCTTACAGGGCCTTCTTCCCATTGGATTTTCAGGCAGGTGATGATCAGCTTCTTCTCAGATGTGAAAACAAAGGCTGATAAGCAGGCATCACCCATCACCTGAGAGAGTTTGGAAAAGGATACAATAAGATATAAGACGTATAGAAAACAAGAAATGGAGTGAAGGGTTGAAAAAACTGTCATTTACGGAAACATGACACAATATGTTAAATATGTATTCTACAGAGTATACAGACCTCTGTCTTGATGAAAATAGTGTGTTGGGATGCTTCTTTGTCTTGTGAGGAAGGCAGAATGGAGTCTTCAAGGGGCTGTATATGTGCCCAGTGTCCCTTGACTGCGCCATCTCGTACCCCTGTCAAATCCCTGACATCCACACACTCCCACAGGAACACTTCCCCTGTTATGGCCACCAGGAACACACGCATCCCATCGTCTGAAACCTGGAGCGACAGTCGCATAGCGTTCCCTGAGAAAACATAAGTCCATTAATTGAAGGTTTAACATTGAATTAACTGTAAGTCACTGTATGTTACAGGCTCACAGTAGAGATAATACAATGCATGTACATAATATACAAGTAATGTGCATACCCTGAACGTCAGTAATCACTTGAACTACTTGTGGGACTGCTGCAGCAGTCTTCAACAAGTCTTTATCCCTGTTCCACAGAAAAAGCTCTCCTGAGACCAAAAGTCCACAAAGCCACATACCTGAAAAACAGCAAGAGACAAGTGATGTATTCTCACAATTGACAGGTGACATGCGCTTTGCTTTATAGTTTGCAGATTGTACTCACCATTGTGGGATGAAGCCATAGTCACCACACTGTTGAGCAAAGGATGGAGTTTAGGAGTCCTCTTCTTGGTGCGACCAGACATCATGTTGATCTCACTGATCCGCCTGTCATCTAACAGGAACACAGACTCCTTCTCCTGAAGAGTGACATGACACAGATTCACAGTTATGTTTCTCTCACATGGATATGTTTTAATGTCTCTGGCTGATATGCTTTACTGTCCTCACCTTCCCAAGCCAACAGAATCGCGGCCATGGTTTCTTCCGTTTGATGCTGGATGACAAAACAACCTCCAGCTTTAGATCCATGTTCGAATGACAGCATCAGTTCTTCCTTCTTATTGTGCACTCAGGAGGGGTCCATCGAGGTTGCAGGATCCCACTAGACTAGCGAGGCGACGTAGGTTAGCGTTAAATATAACGTTAAATGTTAAGTTAACGTTAGCTGACAAGTAAAAATATGCATGTGCTAAATGTAAACATCCTGCATACTCTTACTTAGAAATATCACTCTTAAATATGCGATGGAATCGTTATATGTTTAGGGCATCACGTGGCATAAACATTGTTAGAAGCAACAACAACAACCATGTTATGTTGACCATACCGCTAACTAGCATTAGCTACCTAGCTCGTTTTGCTCACTGCGCGGAGCATTGGCCCCCAAAGAAAGACTTACCTGAGCACTTTAATCATCGGGTAGTCACCTGTTTAAATGCTCACATCATTTGGTGGCGGAAATGTTAAATATAACTTTGGCTTTACGTGTTATACCGCGGATAATCGTGACATATTTCGAAACTCCCTCCGCTTCAGCGTCCAGAATTATTTCCCATGATCCTCTCGGAGGAAGCTTCAATGCGTTGCCGTAGGAACGTAGATGTAACACACCCACACACACACATAGGGAGGTGCAGGGCAGGGCCTGTCATACAACATTATGGGATGCAAAAACGGAATAAATGAAGGCAATAGCATTCAAACATAATACTCAAAGACTGAAGACTCTGCCCCATTATCTTTCTGCAAATTTCTGTATGTTCAATGTCAATACTCCAAAAAGACTCGTGACAATAACAATAACACCTAGCTAGTGTAGAGCCCTGCACATTCACAGACGCCTCAGAATATTGCTGCACAAGCATACTTTTGCCAGCAGATGGCAACGCTGCAAAAGACATTACTGTCAGTATGTACAAAGCAAAGTGTTTGAGTTCACATGCAAGCCAGTTCTGACTAGAGCAGAAGAGATCACTTTGGTAGATAATGGGCGGTAGGCCTATAAAAGGTTTTTTGTACTTTGCCTCTGAGCTATTGCAGATATCTCTCCACAAGGTCAAGTTTCTGTGAGGAACATGCAGGCCTATTAACTATCTGAATGTTTGTGTGCAGTAAGTGGTCCTCTTCACTATTAACATGCTTTGCTTTGTGCGAACTAAGCTCTCTTATTGGCTTGTTACAGAGAGATATTAGGTTTGCCCCCAGGCCCCTGCTGGTATTTAATTACCTTTGCACTATCTCCTTTTCATCGCGAGGAAGATGACAGCAGCCATTGCCAATAGGTGAAAGAGGAGACTTCACCGGACCTTAATTGGTTCATTTGCCGCTGCCTGACAGGCGCAGATGGAGCTCTTTATTAGTGTCACTGCCGGGTACATTCTGGTCTGATGAGAACCATCTTAAAGAGAGCGCTCGACATCATGAGGAGATGATGACATGGCCAAAGCAGAATAATAATTAGGATGAGAGTTGTACAAGAAACAAACTGTTACACATGTGTGCATTTATAATATAAGCGTACCCATCTTCTATCACCAATTTCTTTTGTTGTTTTAATCGAACAATATTATTGGCATGCTTATGACCATATTGTTTAATCTAGCTGGGTCCTCAATGAGGCTTTTTTTGTATACTAGTATTTGAGTGTTTGTATTTCTGTGTGTTTAGATGTTTACAAATGTTTCGCATTTGCGTGTTCCTCTTGCAAGGTATCAGCCTATTGTTGAGATATTTTAGTGCCTCTGCATGTGTGAATGGACATCATTCATAGTAAACAGTCTTTACACAGCCAAATAGGACAAGACTGAGGAACACATGGCAAGAACATGCAGGGCAAAAGCTTAAAAATAGACTAAAAACCCAAAATGGTTTGTTTAAACACAATACTATCTCCTTAGCAAATGTCCCCTGAACACTTACGCTTTTATTTGATTTTGGTTTGACTTTGGATTTCTCTCTCTCTCAGCATAAAATACCATTAGCTAATTGCATCACTGAATGAAGTAGAACAGTATTTCCAATAGTCTCAATTTGTTAATCACTAATCATAACACACAAGCATGTCAATACTGAAGGATGCCTGTAAATCACCCAACACCCTTTCTACACCATGAAGAAAAAGAAACAAAAATGCAAAGAGTAATATAGGTTTACTCTGTAAATACTCTATAATTACTATTTATTTGAATGTTCCCTGCTCTCTCAAAAAGGCATGCCTGCACATAAGGTGGTGACAGTTGGGTTAGCATTTCTGGATAATCCTCTACCAAACTGAACTATGACTACATTTAGATTATAAAGACATGATAATTTGACCACAAAGCATCAGTATAATGTTTTGCACGATGCTCTTAAGGCACATGCTAACTGTGGGCTCCTTTTAATTTAATAAACTGTTTAGCCATTACAACAATTAACGAGAGAACAATGATCCGTCTACGTCCTCAGTGTTCAATATAGGGACATTAGTTGGCATGGTAACCTCATTTGCCATCTGCAGGCCTCATTCATACTGAAAAATGACACTCAGGAAGCTATAAAGAAACAGTTCATTCTTTCTCACAACAGTGGGTCAGAGTATGTCTGCTGCAAGTCGCTTGGTGTGCACTTGATTGCCTTTGTCAGAACAACAACTGTCTTTGAAGGGTTGAATTTCATGTTTATTGGGAAGTTTCTTTTTAGTGCACAGAGAGCTGAGTGCAGCTTTTTGTGTTAAATATTGACAAATGGGTGTTCAAAGCCTAATTCAGCATTTGAGGATGACAAATGCTGAAAACAAAAATGCCTTCTTGTTGAGAGTTAGATGAGAAGGTCAACGCCACTCTCAGATCTAAGAGTATTATATTTCAAAGGATAACATTGTAATTTTTACTCCACTGGCCTATCTTATAAATTATTATGTATAACAGTATAAAGCCGCAGTATAAAACAGCTATAAGCATAAACTTTGATAAGAGAACTTTATTTATCCTGAGGGAAATTGTTGTGCGCCTACATTGAAAATGTGACTACATGTTAATGCATATACATTTGTAATAAAACAATGTAACAGATACGATAATATGACACTTTGGAGGGGACATTCTGTCTAAGGCTACAATAGGCTGCTTTTCATTTTTAATTGAAGATATGTGTTTTGTACAACGTGGTATAACTCCTTTTACTTAATGACAATACTTCTTCAATCACTGCTCCTGCAGCTTCTCTCTCAATATTCCCTCAGTGATGCTCTGTCTTCCAGCTCTACTCCTGCACACCTGAGAGACTGGAGCCCTGCTGCAGAAGCATCTACTGCACAGTGCGGATGCGCAGCTTTTCTACAGCGATCAGATGTGCACGAGTCAAGTGAGACCAAAAACTTCCTTTGTTTTGGACTAATATATCAGACAGTCTTCTCCTTTAAATGTTTCCGCGAAACAGCAACGTGCTTACTTTGACGGATTCAGCATCACGACAGATGCCGCCTTCTCTTCCACACGATTGGCCGAGCCGTGGGAATATTCAAATGCAGCCTTGATTGATTGGCCCAGAGCCGGTTTCCACAGCGCGCAGGGGACTCATTTCCATTCCGACATCACTCTCTGTGGCACACACACACAGCTTGGTCGGCTGCCGAGATGAGATCCAGGCAGATACGCGGAAAAACATAATCGGCAAAATAATCTGATATACGACTGTTGAATATGTCGAGGAAGTACATCAGCTTCATCAATGGATAGCCTGTATCTCCGGAGGTTTTTGCGAAATCAGTGGCAAGATTGCCTTTGCAGAGGAAATACGCCTTCCGAGCCGGAGAACGACCAATCAGCCGGGGCGAACCAAAGATAAACAAGCCTTATGATAAGACAAAACTCTGTAAGACATCATGTTTCTTATTTCCATCCTTAATGTCTGTGTGGGCTCATGGAAGCTGTTTCTCAGTGCAGACAAATGTTGTTTTGTTATACTAGCTGAATTGATTTTTAACTGTAGCTGTGTAACTTCATGACAATAACAGAGTAAGACAAATATTCAGGGTTGTAAAGATAAATCAATGTATGATGTCTGGATTCGCCCTGCATTGATTTTAAGTCTACAGTGTTAAAGTGGTGAAAGATGCCCAGAGCGCACTAATGGATAGGAGCGTCTCGCCCTTACTATATTTCAGTGTGCTGCTATTGGCTAATGTGTATTTATATGGGCCGAGTCCAACTATAAGGTTTGTAATTTATATTCACCATATATACAATAGCATAATTTGTCTAATGGCAGAATATTCCCTTAATGTATTCAACAGTTAAATAAGGGAATAGTATAGGCCGAAATTGGTTATTATAATATAAATTAACATTTGCTAAACAAAAATCTGTAGTTTTTAAATGTCTCTTCTCTGGAAACTGTTCTGTCACTAGCCAACACAATTTCGAGTCTCATCCTTTTCATTTGCTGGGAACATGGCTTTGCGCGCAGTGAAAGGCGCTTTATATGTCAGCATCCCAGTGGATACGGGAAGTGCTTTGAAGTATATTATCGGTCATTCAGAGCTGCCTCTGAAGGTTTCCATTTCTATTGTCTAGAAGCCGGAGGTGGGATCATCGCACCTCACTGCACCGGTGGCAGCCGAGGTTGAAGGTTAGCCGCAGCAGAGAGGGGGCCTATAGATTATTGGCCAGGTGTGAAATTCTACCCCTCATGCTTTTTTTTCTGCTTGTGCCAGATCCTTTATTACCCAGAGAGATGGGATGTCACAGCTTCTCACCGGAGGCAGAGGAGGAAAGCCTGCAAGCCTTCTTTTCTTCTGGCTGTTTTCTTACCAAAAGAGAAAAATCACTCACCCCCCTCACTTGATTTATTTTTATTGTGAGTCATGAGACTCTCAGGAATAGGCTTATCTCTCTGTCTTATGATTTCCTATGAACATATTCAAATCATGGCATTGTGGCTTTTGATTTACCACAGTGTCATAATATAATGTTTTAGTGCCATATCCCCCTTCCACCGTAAAGCATATTGGTTGGGTGTATTCATTAAAGAATATACAGTTTGGCTCTACTTAGCCAGTCAATGTTTAGTGCTGCATGTTTTTCATGTCATGTACACAGCACTGTTTTCTTCAATTATAGAGTGTAATACGTAACTACTCTTAATGACATATTCATTTTTGTTTGTTTGAAATGTGCTTGTGCTTGGAGTCGTTTGGGAGGCTTGTAAATTGCGTCGTGCTATGAGCAGTCGATGTGCAGGTATCCCATGGGGGTTTCCCTCTGATCTCGCATCACACCCCAGCAGTAATTCCAACTCCGTGAAGGGAAGGGATTTGTCATTTGGCTGCCTGCTTCCCTTTGGATTCTCAGGAGCGAAGCTGAGCTCTGATTTATTGTGAAGTTTCCCCAGGCTCGCTCAATCTCCATGCCTACCGAATTACTGAATGGAGGAAACAGCTCACCACGAGAATGACCTTTTCTTGGATGGCTATTACCCAGGCCAGTGCAAGGATGGATTAATGTCATGTCTTTTTCTGCCATGTCACTGAGTGCTTCATATTTAAGGTTTGTTAAGTGTACAGTGGGTTTTCAGCGGCAGATTATAGTCTCTGGCTAGAAGACGGGATGATAAGATATGATGCAAAATGACTTTGAAAATATATGGAACAACGTCTCTGCCCGTTTTATAGGAATAATGTCAAAGGCTCGGTTGCTCAGCAGTTTGTCTCGTTCACCCTTTATAATCACCTTTTTTTTTTATCTACGAAGACATGTCATTTGTAATTACAGGCAGCCTACCATCTTTTGAAATCTGTCTAATTGGTCTTTTCAGTCTAATAGGATGAAGGGGGAGTGAGATCGGAGTTAAGGGTGGGAGGTTAAGGACTGGGCCTCGGAGGTCATTGGGGAGGGGACAGTACCGCAAGGGTTATTAGGAGCTCTGGTCATTTTTGTTTTGTCTACATGATGGCACTCGGTCATTACTTCAAATTAATGATTAAGACTGCCAAATTGCAACTGATGCATCATCATTTGCCCTAAACAGAAAGGCTTTGAGATGATGACATTTTTAGTTGGTCCAGAGATCAAAGAGCTTATTTTTTCTCCCTGAAGCATTCTGTGATGCATGGTAGAGCACTTATCATTAGGTTATCTCCCACATTACTGGCAGCAATTTATCTACAGTTTCTAATGAGTTTCATGTTCGCTTTTGAGATTTTAATGACTTGAAGGAATCAGTGACCCTGAAAAGCAGTAAAGTAAACAGAGAACGGGGGATTTAGTGTATTGTGTAGTTATTACATAGTCTTCTTCTATGGTTTTAACAACAGTTGATGAGAATAGGAGGCTTAACAACGATTCAATACCTGAGTTGACCGACATTAAATTTAAATCTTTTTTGAAAAATAACTCATCTTTCCACAAAACCTTCAGCTCACTCTTTTACCATCTGTTATCTTTGAAGTCAAGGTTTTCTAAAGATTGGACAGCATGGCTCTCTGACAGTGTGTCTCGGTGTGCATACTGGGATACGGATAAGATAAGGCTCTGTTTACCCTCTAATGCTACCTTGGCATTGGCCAGACTTCACCCCATGCAGTGTGTTTCTTTTACCTTGGCACTGTCTGTGGGTAAGGGCGGCTGTGGGTCAGTCCAAGGCTTTCTACTCCCTCCCAAGGCTGCTCACAAAGATAAGACTTAATTGTGCAGCTTGGCTAAATTCGTTCTCAGCATTTGTATACATAAAGCGTCATTGTTACTATTTTCACAAACACAAATCCGTGTTCAAACACTGGAGTCTAACCTCTTGTCTCTTCCATGAATATGATGTTGTGTAAACTATGCAATGTGTTTCTTCACCAGCCATTTGCTCTCGGTATTAAGAGCACTTTGCACAAATTAACACCTGGGCACAAAAAAATGTGCCCCAACAAAAAAGAATGCCAGATATTTAACAAATATTGAAATTGTCAGTTTTTATATAATTTTTATTTAATATTGATATATTACAGAAGATATCCCCTTAATCATCCTACCAATACTGCTGTTAAAGACGGACTCACAGAAATGGCCCTATATTAACTCCAAAGTAAATGATTAATTGATTGTAAGAAACTGTAAACCTCCTAGACATGTCTTCATGCTGGCAGTGGCTGTGGCCGCTGAAATTAATGGTGCAAGCTCTGATCCCAGGGCGTTGGATCATTTGTTTCAAACCATTTGTTGCCGCAGTGTAAGATGTTCAATTCCTCTGAAAAAAGTATTCCCAATGACGGTGATGCACATTTTATCCCTGTTGGGTAGAAACATGGTCACAAGCTTTATGTGCCACTGCAGGGTTTCTTTGCATATAGCTAAAAAGATATTCATATCTGCTGTGCTTTTTTGATTTCCAGATAATGTCAAGCTAGATGCAATATAGAAGGAAAGTAAATAATGATGTATACATGCCAAAGTAAGTAGTAACAAAATGCTGATTGATGTAGATGTCATACAGATTAAGTAAAGGCACCAGCAATTGCTTGAGACCAATTAAAAGAGTGTATACTGCTTTTGACAATACATTTGTAAGGAACTTTAATAATGACACGATGAGAACGCTTCATAGGGAGGTGGCTGAACACACAGGGGAAACACGCAATTTAAATATATAGAGAAAGATTATAACATAACTATAAAGAAGTTAACATTGACAGACTACATTGGATATTGCATATGTTGACAAGTTTGGTTTACATGCATTAGCCTTTGCCCAATTGTGTGTGTGTGTGTGTGTGTGTGTGTGTGTGTGTGTGTGTGTGTGTG